CATCCTCTTTCCGGACGAACCTCCGCGTCGGGCGGGCACTCCCATTTCAAATTCTCTTGCCCTCTGTCTCTCCATCATCCTGCCTTCGGCCCCGCGTTCACACTCCCCGCACTGTCAGGCTACTTCCGTCTTGCATCTCCTCCTACCCTCCTGCTGTCCAGCGCGATCCCAGCCCATCGCTATCTCCCCGCCATCGCCTCTTTCGCCTGCCCGTGCCTTCTGTCATCACACACTTCTCATTTTCATCCTCCAGTCCCTTTGCTGTCGCCATCCATCCTCCACCTTCCCATCAATCACTCTCCTACCGGCTGCCGTACTCCCACTCCCACTTCCTGCTTGTCCCAGCCCTTCCTCCCCCATAGCGCAACCTCCTGCCCATCACGCACACCTATCCTTCTGCCCTACACGCGTCCATCCCCTCTCCCATCCCCTGGCCATTCTGCTCTTCCCCCCTCCTCCCTCTGCCACTCGCCATTCCATTCCTGCTTCTGCCGATCCGTCGGTGCCTGACGCTCTCTTTCCCCCCTCATGTGCATCGACCGTTCCGTCCGCTTGCTTGTGCTCTCCAAAACAATCTCCATCCTTCCCGCCTCCGCATCCGGCATGTCTGCCCATCCCCCTGCCATTAAACCCCATCTCACTTCCTAATCCCGGCTAGCCGCGGCGCGCGCTGCGCCTTCCGCCCTTCCCTGGCTCATCACCATCAGCTGACCGTCTCCTGCTGCATTCAGCTTCTCTGCCGCCATCCGCAGTTCAATCGCCTGCTCACAGCTCACCCTCTCCCACGCTCCCGACCTGCCCGCATCGTGCACCTTTCGTTCCCATCCCAGCAGTCCTTCCCACACCTACATACCTTCCGCCATCCCATCTTCACTCGCCGTTACATTTTTCCACTCAGCCATTTCATTTCTTCGCGCTGCTTCCTATTCTGCCGCCCCAGGTCACCTATCTACAAGTCTACTTTCCCGCCCCGCAACCCTCTCCTTGCTCTGTTATTGCTCCCGCATTCATCTTCACTCTCCCGCCGCCCTTTCACTCTCCCCGCCCCCTTCACTCTCCCGCCCCCTTTCACTCTCGCTCTCCTTTTCACTCTCCCGCCGCCCTTTCACCTCCGCCCCTTTCACTCGTCTCCGCCCCCTTTCACTCTCCGTCCCTTTCACTCTCCCGCCCCCTTCACTCTCACTCTCCCGCCCCCTTTCACTCTCACCTGCCCTCTACCCCTTTCACCTCCCGCCCTACTTCCAGCTTCCTCATTCTTTCAACTCCCTCACTCGACCTTCACCGTCCCCATCTCCCCACCTTATCGCCACTCCACCCCTTCCATATGCCCCACCCCCCGCTCTCCAATCCTTCCGCCCGGCCCGCCTGCCTTTTATCCCTCCCCCGTCGACATGCAGCCCTTCGGCTCATCCCGGCCGTCGCCCACCTCCCGCCGCGATCTGTCAGTTGACAAAGGCCCTTCTCCGCCTCGCGACAGCGCGCTGCCCTTTCCGGATCCTCCTCCGCTGATGAAAATTGGCCGCGTGGCGCCGCGTCTCCGTTTGCATTGTCCACTCTGTTATCGCCGCCCCCATCCTTCAGACTCGCCGTGCTTTGTGACCGCTTTACCTTTCTTCGCGCGGGGTCGTTTCTTTGACAGTACCACTCGTGAAATTAAAACCAATAGTGTTTCACTATACATGCTAAATGCCCCATTCCGGGCGGTGTATCTCAAAAAGTTTCTCCGATTTATCTTACCGCCTCTACCTACTGGTCAATCATAAACTGTGACTCATCTATCTCAGGAGGAAGTATACATCGATCGTTATGTCCATGTCCAATAAGCAGCGTATATACTGTAATATAACCTCTGATTTTAACATATGCTTCGAATTTTTTTCAATATTTGACGCATTTTGGAACTCTGTTGGACAAAATTTCGTACTCGTAGAATCGCCCTATTATATACCACTCGTGCTGTGGGAATTCTCAAATAAATACCCACGAGTCGGAGAGTTAGGGATTTATCGACAGTTTGCAAGCAGTCGTGGTATTACCTACGATAGCTTGTCGATATCGCCTGGGTGACCTGGTGCTTTGCGGTCATCGCTCTAGTTCTGGTTAATCTCTGCAAATCCTGGTATCCACAACAGAATTTATATCCCATCTACAGATCCAATGTTATTTAAAAATTGTATTTCTAATTATCATGACGCGATCGCGACATAGAAACGTATGCCACTTGTAGTATGTACTTAGTTATGTTAACATTCTGTTGTTCGTTAAATAAGAAAAATAAAAAGTCCAGAACTAGTATTTCTTTGAATATTTGCCAAATCTAACTTTTGTCGGGAATCCTCTACGACGTTCATCTCCGGGATCACTGCCTCGACTGTAAGCAAGAGCAACTAAGTTATTCCACTTCAGTGAAATCAATTCATCCATATTTTGGCCGTGTCACTTGGTTTCACAGTTTGTACAACCCTTGCTGAGCTACCACCGTCCTTCTGATTGCTTTACTCACGTCATCAATCCACATCCCTTTTCCCCGGCAATTCTACAGCCCCTCCCTTGTCCTGCTGATATTGCAATTTCAGCCCTCAGTGGGGTTGTGGTCTGTTCACAGGTCTCTCACTCCCAATTTTGCGAATTCGACCCCGTCCAATGATGGTGGGTTTTGAATGTGTTTGCTTGTGGCATATGTGTTTTTTGCCATAGGCCACTCGCAATTAAATCCTTCAACATTTCTTACCCTACTGGATCATTTTGTTGATTACTGTGCCTCATTTATTCAAATGCAGGTCATTATTTTCAAAGTTTTGCAAATCGTGAAATGAAGGAGTATTCCAGAAGTAAAGAAGTCTTTATTGGGTAGAAGCTATTACTCACTCTTTGCGTCTCCTATTCAAATATTGTTTTTACATACATTATTAATTACAATGTTAAAAAATGAAAGTAATCATGCGTTACATAGGGTTATTACCAGAAAAATCTTCCAACATTATTTTACTGCAAGTCCAAATTCCCCGCTTGAAAAGTTGATATTTTCTTGTTGAGTAGATTTGGGCATATTTAAAGCCATGTAACTCAGGATGTTTGTACGAAACATCTGGCAACCCTGTGTCCACCTCAAGGGAAGAGAGCTCGGTCACAACACGCAGACATAACATACAAACATCATCCACCGTCGTTACTGACAACGTGTATTAAGAATGTCTAACCATTTTCCTGAAACAAACGTAGAGTAGTGACAACCTTGTTGATTGACGTTTCTAGGGCGGGTGCAGCAAATGTAGTGATGTTTTATCGCGGAAATTGGCGATGTTCTTCTCTCGCTGCATGACGACCTCCAGCGCCGACCATCTTGTCAGCTGGGAGGGGGGAGTACCCATACAGGTATCTCCCAACATCAATGCACCGCCCTAGCCAGAATAAACTCCAAGCTAATGACGGATCTCTTGATATGGGTGGAAGTGTAGTGCATGGAAGTGTCTGTGTGTGTGTGTGTGTGTGTTTGTGTGTGTGTAAATAAGGGGTGAGGGTAAGGAGAAAGAGAAGGAAGGAAAGATTGCGCGCGGTCCGTGGCCCAGAGTAGCGGGTCGCTAGAATTCTCCTCCAAATTTTGGTGTATCGTTTTTAGAGTATTACTTCGTCTCAGGTCGTGCCTCCCCCACCGTCCTGCAGATTTTTCTCTCCTCAGTCGCTGTTGTTGCCCCCACCCCACCCCCACTAACCTACTCTACTGTGCATCACTTTTTCGTCATACCACGACTTCCATGTAATCTGCTTCACTTAATACTTGAATCTCAAAATAAATCACTATCGGAATGTTCCCGTTGCTCTGACGGTTGCCCTATTTATACGTTTGTACTAATCTATTAGTAAAGGATTAGGATTTCTATATCTTGTCTCTCTTCTTTTCTCTACATTTCGTTCAGAATCCAGTCTTCGGGTGCTTTCCATTTTTCTCTGTCATCAGTATCAGGAATTTTGGTGCGCACACCTAGTTTTGCTTGCACCTCTTTTAGAAGCCCTTTTTTACTCCAATTACGTTTCTCTTGCAGAGAGCGTATGTGAACTACAAGCGTATTTTTCTATGAGTATTTCTCTTGTGGAAGCAAACAGATATTACTCAGGTGTATTGGTAAGGGAATCTCATTCTATTTTGGATGTTTTTACAAAGACAAACAGAATTTCATACTTTTAAAACTTGCGATAAAGCATGTCCAATGGATATAAGTAAATTGAATTAAATGAAATAACATTAACCATGAGAGTAAACATTTACTGGAATAACCCAGCTGCAAACATTTTTCCTTGTAAATAAACTCATCAAGAATTAAATTTCTTATTCATTTATTTTTCATTTCAGACCTCACTTCACTAATATTTTTAATTTGTACTTCTTGGTTCATCTATTGTACCTTAATACTAATCTTTTACTTTCAGGGTATCTCTTATTTTATATCATTCGAGGCTACATGTTGTCAATAATTTTCTTTTTTCCTTTTGTTTTTATTCCGTATAGACAACATATTTCTGAATTCCTCTTCAGCTTTGTAGTATATTTTGAACTGACGTTTTAATTAATTAACTAATATACTTCAAAGAGAGCTCTAGAATATTTATGTTGCCACGCAAATCATATTTATCCTCACGGTTTGTTTGTTCAAAAACTAAATAAAAAGAATACGGGCAACCTTAATTTAAAGAGATAAAGAATATTCTTTTCAATATTTTGTCATTTGAATTTCAATTCTCCATTAAGAATATTTATATTTACGCCTTTTAATTATAAGAATAGGAAGTTTATTTTAGTAGTTTAGTTTATAGGAAATGGAAAACACTTTTTAGAGTGTACTGCCCAAACGGAGAATAAACCAATGTTTCAAAGAACTCAATTACTCGTCCTTTACCAGAGAATCATCAATATTTCGTGATAATGGTGAATACTAGCGGAAAGTGAACTGAATCACGCGATGTGGAAATAAAAATTTCAATCGACGAACATTGTGCTCATATCAGATATTCCAACAAATACAAACACAAGTAAAAGCGCAGTAGCAGAATCGAAGTTAAAATTCGAGTTTTGTAAGGTGGCGCTTGACATAAATCAACTGTTATACAGTGTCATCCAATCGGTAGTTTGAACGTCATCATGGTTAAGCTCCCAATTGGATGAACCGTCAACAGCTGATTTACGTCAGGCACTCCGTTAAAAAAATAGAAGTATAGGAAAGTGAATAGATCAGATGAGATCAGATGAGAAAATGAGACTCTCCATACATTCCATTGGCTCGAGTTGAAATTTGCGATGAAGATATATCATACTTAAGCCCCGGATTTATTGATGTTGAGAACAAAAAATCAGGTGTCTGTCTGAGAACTTTAAATCAGGCAAACAGTGTTTAGTTTATGGAACATTTTAATTGGGACTTCATATGTTTTGGGGCAAACAAATGAAAGACGCAACGATACTTGTATTAATCGTACTGCACTAATTATAATGCACTCGTATTATTTGTACCTACTAAAAAACTATTCATTAACAGTTTCAACATGAAACAAAAAATACTTGGACGATTTTCTACGAGTTTGTCTTCTTTTACGTTAAAATTGGAAAAGCTGTACTCAATATCACACGATTGAAAAGTGCAAACTTCAAATCTGCATCACGAGAGCTATTTTTGTTTCTTCCGACAAGAAAAATAACTGATACAAATATTCAATTTTTATTCCACGTCCGTTAGTTTGTAATAGATTTATTTGGCCCTACACAATGTTACTGGGATATTAAAGGAAAAATGAGAGACTACTTTGAGAATTCGAGAGTATGAGTACAGGTGAGGTTCAAATCTCCGAATCAGAGGCTTAACCGTAACACACATCACAGAGAATCCATTGAAGGTAACAGCTACTCCCTCTGCGCTCGGCAACTCTCACGCCAGCTTCCCGCGCGCCCTTTATCCCGGCCGGGCGTGCGGTCGCGTGCGCGCCATTCCGGGCCCTGTGCCGGCTCCCCCTCGACGCCCGCGCCCTTCATCGCCCTCATCGCCCTCATCGCCCCTCGCCGTCCTCATATCCCCTCGGGCGCGTCGCCGAGACGCGTGTGCGCCTCCCTTCCTCCCGCCGCGCCGCCGCGCTCGTTGCCGGCACAATGACATTAACATACATATTTATCCCCGCGGCGCGGAGAGGGGCCGCGTGAGCTGGCCGACCAGCCGGCCACGCCGCCACCGCGCGCTCTCCCCTCGGTGTCTCGCTCAGCGGTGATCTCTCCGTCGCCCTGGCACGCCCGCGAGGCGACCTCACCGTTGCCCTCACCGTTGCCTTGGCAATCGCCCTTGCCATCGTCCTTGCCGTCCTGCGAACCCTTGCCCCCACCGTTGCCCTCGCATTGGCCATAATTGTCGATCTCTCTGTTGCCTTGTCAGCGGAGCTCGCTGTTGCCATCATT